GTGATAAGGGGACAATCAATCCATACCCAAAATGACATCAAAATCTACCATATCAAGAAGTAGAAGATCCACACTAGTCTCGAGATTACCAATAGTAACCACACACGAATGATAGACATGATCTACTACAACAGAGTCTCACACTGGTGTAGATACACACATAGAAGCACTCAGAGAATCACAAGGCACAACCACATATGAAGCAAAATAGGAGGACACATAGGAATAAATAGATCCTAGATCAAATAGAACTGAAGCATCTCTATGGCAAACTGGAATAATACATGTGATCACAGCACCAAATGACTCGGCCTTAGGCCTAGCTGGAAAAGCATAAAATCGGGGCTGGGCCTCACCACTCTGAACTGCGTCTCTGGGACGGCCTCTAACTAGCTGGCCTCCACCTCTAATGGTCTGACCTCCACCTCTAATGGCCCAATCTCTCTCTAGCTGCCTGACCCCTACCTCTAGCTGGCTGAGTAGGCAGTGAAGCAAATGGTGCCGGTATGATGGCATGAGAATCTTGCCGAGATCTGTTACTCGTCAATCTAGGGCAATACCTTCTAATGTGACCAATGTTCCCACACTCGTAACACCCATCCTGATACCGTGGCTGCTGAAGCTGACCCAAATAGGCAGGATAACCACTGAAATAACTCTGGAGTGATGAAGCATTGATAGGAGTTGAATGTGCACTGAATGTCGGCTATCCAGAGTAAGGAATAATAGGACCGTGACTCCTTGAAGCACCGGGAGATGCATGAAGTGATGAATAAAATAGTCTGGGAGGATAACTCCTACCAAAATTACCCCTGCCTCCAGATGAGGCACCACTGAAACCACCGAACTGACGATGCCTTTTATCGGACCTCTGCCTTCTCTCCTGTGCAAGAACCATTTTGATCCTCCTTGTGATATTAGCAGCCGCCTGAAAAGAAATCTCACTTCCGGTCTCCTTGTCCATCTGAAGTCTGATAGGGTGAGTGAGTCCCTCAATAAACTTCCTCACTCTCTCTCTCCCTCCGTAGGTAGTAAAAGGAGAGCATGACGGGCCAAATCCACAAAACGGGACTCATACTGAGTAACAGTCATATTGCCCTGTTGTAGACGCTCAAATTGCTTGGGGAATTCCTCTCTTAGTGTGATAGGGAGGAACTTTTCCAGAAATAACTGAGAGAACTGCTCCCATGTAAGTGCAGGCGATCCGAGTGGTCGGATGAATGTATAATCTCTCCAACACCTCTTGGCGGAACCCTTCATTTGAAATACAGCAAAATCAACCCCATTGGTCTCAACTATGCCCATGTTCCGCAGCACCTCATGGCAACATTCAAGATAATCCTGTGGGTCTTCAGAAGGTGTACCACTGAAGTGAATTGGAAAGAGCTTAGTAAATTTATCCAATCTCAATAAGGTCTCAAAAGACATGGCGGGCCTATCACCGATNGCTGAACTACCCCAACTGGCGTGGCTGCTGGAGCCTAATTCTGGGGAGCCATCTGCTCTGGAGCGGGAGTAGTGGGAGTTTGTGCTCCTCCCCCAGCCTGAGAGATGGCTGGTACCATTGGAAATGTACCATTCTGGGCCACGCCATCCATAATACTTACCAAATGGACTAGAGCGTCCTGAAGTACTGGAGTGGCTATGAATCCTTCCGGGACCTGAACTGGTCCAACTGGTACATTCTAAACTGGAACCTCCTCCTGAAGGTCCACCTGAGGTTCTACAACAGATGCAGCTACTCGAACTCCGGACTGAGCTCTACCTCGGCCTCTAGCACGGCCTCGACCTCGACCTCTACCCCTGGCCATAGTTACCACCGGTGGTTCTGGTCCCTATCCATCGGTAGAGGTACTACGTGTTCTCACCATCTGCAAGAGAGTAAGAGTAGAATGGTTCAATCATCGATGATAGAATAAAATCGCACGACAGAATAAGAAAGAAATGATATTGTTCCTAAACTTCATAGCCTCTGAGAGATAAGTACAGACGTCTCCGTACCGATCCTTTAGACTCTACTAAGCTTGCTCGTGAGACCTATGTAACCTAGTGCTCTGATACCAACTGTCACGACCTGAAATTCCCACCTTCGGACCGTGATGGCGCCTAACATTTCACTTGCTAGGTAAGCCAACGTTAGAATAATATTATCTATTTTTAAAATAATTTTTAAATTTATTAATAATCAAAGAACAAATGCGAATGTAAAGTATGAAATGTAGTGAATAATCCATAAAAACAACAATGTTAAAATACCATCCCAGAATTGGTATCACAAGTGCACTAGCTTCGAGAATAATACAAATAATGGTCTGAATAAAATAAAGTTAACTGGAAATAAACACACAGTTAAAGTAAAATAGACGGGGACTTCAGAACTGCAGACGCCATGCAGTTATACCTCAAGTCTCCTCCGAGTAGCTGGAATTCGAGCAAGTCTATGGTACGCCGCTGAGACCAACTCCAAAATCTGCACAAGAAGTGCAGAGTGTAGTATCAGTACAACCAACCCCATAAATTGGTAAGTGCTGAGCCTAACCTCGACGAAGTAGTGACGAGGCTAAGGCGGGTCACTTACATTAACATGTACGCAATATTAGTAACAACAACAAATAATAGAAATAAATCAGGTAACTCACTTATAATAATTGAATCCAACTTAGCAGTCATAGCCACTTATCATTTCCATCAATTTCGGTTGCAGCGTGCAACCCGCTCTCACAATATATTCACATTCAATTCTGTTGCAGCGTACAACCCGCTCTCACAATATATTCATTTTCAATCCTCTCATACAATTATTTAATCAAGTATATATATTGACATTTCAATAAGTCTATTGCGGTGTGCAATCCGATCCCCCAAATATAGACTTTTAATAATTCTGTTGTGGCGTGCAACCCGATCCCTCAATATATTCATTTACCAATTGTTATAAAAGAAATTTCCCCAATAAATGCAATAATTAATATAACATTTTAAGACAACATGCATAGATTAATTATGATTTAATTATGAAACAAACAATGATAAATAGCAATTTATTATAAAAATTAGGGAGAAAATAGGCAGTTTAATATTTAACATGCTAAATGTCAAGTAACAATTAATACACATAATTCAAATAAGATGTAACAATTAATGCAGGAATTCAAGAATTAATATTTGACAAAGAATAGGAGAGAAATAATTATTATAACAATTAATTCATGATTTAAAATAATTTATGAATTTTTAAGTAAATATGCAAATAATTAATTTGACGACGTATAGATAGTCGTCACCTCGACAATACGTCGTTCACATGCATTTTACATAACAAATAATTTAAGAGTTCTATTCCCTCAAGTCAAGGTTAACCACGACACTTACCTCGCTTTGCAAATTCCAATCAATTACTCAACCACAGCTTTTCCTTTTAAATTTGACTCCAAAAACTTCAAATCTATTCATAAAAAATTTAATATACTCAATACGAATCATAGGAATTAATTCCATATGAATTTACTAATTTTCGGATAAAAATCCAAAATTCATTAAAATATTCGACATTGGGACCCACGTCTCAAATACCGGAAAACTCACTAAATGGATCTTCAAATCTAAATTTTTTATTTTTGGAAGATTTTAGAAAAATCTAATTTTTCTTCCATAAATTCAAGGATTCATGATATAAACAAGTATAGAATCATGAAATATAATCAATATAGGATAAGGAACACTTACCCCAATATTTTTCGTGAAAATCGCCCAAAATTCCGCCTTAACCGAGCTCAAAACGACCAAAATGTGAAAATAATATCGGACTCTTCGATATATACACTGCTCAGGAATTTCTGCACCTGCGGTGCTTGGACTCGCATATGCGAGCTCGCATCTGCGAAAATGGGGCTGCCTGGCGAGGCCTCGCACATGCGGAGGAAAAATGTGCACCTGCGTTGCCTTCCGCTTCTGCGGACGCGCGGGTGCATGCAAGTTTCCGCACTTGCGGACCTTTGCCCAGCCTGCCCAGGCCGTTTCTGCAATGGAAGGCTCGCTTTTGCGAGCTCGCACCTGCGGTCAAAAATCTGCAGGTGCGATTACAACACAAGGCAAAATTTCAGATTTTGCTTAAGTCCAATTCTTGTTCCGATTTCGATTCGAGTCACACTCGGGGTACTTGGGACCCCGTGCGAATATACCAACAAGTCCCATAATATAATAAGGACTTACTCGTGGTCAAACATCACGTCAAACAACGCTGAAATGACAATTCACACCCCGATTCGAACTTTGAGTTTTAAACTTTTTCATTTGCAAATCGCGTGCGAAAACATATTAAATGAATCCGGAATGACTTCAAATTTGGCACACAAGTCATAAATGACATAACGGAGCTATTTAAATTTCCAGAATTGGATTTTGGCTTGGATATCAAAAAGTCAACCCCGTGGTCAAACTTGGAAGTTTTTAGCCTTTAAATTGCTAGTTCTGTTAAATGGTCATAACTTGAGCTAGGGACCTCCAAATTAAATTACGGGCATACGCCCAAGTTCCAAATTACGATACAGAGCTACCGAAATTGTCAAAATACTGATCCGGGTCCGTTTGCTAAAACCGTTGACCAAAGTCAACTCAGTTGAGTTTTAAAGCTCTATTTCACATTTTAATTCATTTTTCACATGAAAATTTTTCGGAAACTTTTACGGACTGTACACGCAAGTCGAGAAATGATAAATGGTGCTTTTCGAGGTTTTAGAATACATAATTACTTATTAAATTTAAAGATGACATTTTGGGTCATCACACTACTTCATGATATTTAATATATCTGGAAGCTCCACAAACATGACAATATTCATCAGCCTTATGTTCATTCCTAAATAGCATGCAATCATTGGGACATGCATCGATTATTTCATAATCAAGACCGAGATCCTTTACCATAGACTTGGCATTATTGTAGGATAAAGGAATGTTCAACTCGGGCATCGCCACTTTCAATAACTCTAAAAGAGAAGTGAATGACGTATTGCTTCATCCATGTAGACACTTCAACAAATATAGACGGATTGTGAATGATAATCTAGAGAATCCTTTACAACCAGGATATAGTTCTTGTCTTGCCTCATCAACTAAGTTATAGAATTTATTGGCATCTTCATTTGGACCTTCAAAAAGGCCTTCAGCTTGTGCAACATCTCTAAATTGATCATTCAATAATCCATTAATATCATCATACGAGTTAATTTCATCACTCGTGTCACCATCAACATTCATAGGGATTTCTCATTCTCCATGATTAATTCATCTTGTATAACCTTGAACAAATCCATAGCATATTAGATGATCATATACTACATTCCTTTGAATCCAACGAATATTACAACACTTTGCAAACGGGCATTGAATTTCCTCGCCTTGAGGCTCTCCATAAGAGTAAGCAAATTCTATGAAAGATTGTACCCCATCAATATACTCTTTGCTATACCTTGGTAAATCCATCCAATCCTTGGATGGAACATTTGAAACCCTAAAAATCAAATATTAATATTGGATCATCAAATATGTAATCATTTAAGTATTACATATACATTACAAATAAAGCCTAAAAGTCATGAGTAAGTTTTCAAAATCATATGTAATGTAAGATGATAAGAATATCTTACCTAGTCATGACACTTATGTTATACCAAACCCAACTTCAAATATATATCTTCCTGAGCGTTGACTTAAGTTCTTGGAGAAAAGAAACAAAATTAATAGGATCCACACAACAACAAAATAAATCAACAAGATATTCTTTTGGTAGGGAGTTAGGATATTACTCAATTGAATACATACTTATTAGTCAAAAACTCACATGTTAAATTGACTTCTTTGACGAATCAAGATCATAAAAATCCATGAAAGAATAAGAACAATGAAATCAAAAGAAAAGCAGAAAGTGAGCAAACAGTAGTATCAAATTCCTAGCAATATTCATGTTGCAAGAAGTGATCAAATAGTAGTGTCAAACCGTACATTCGAACCAGATTAAGAAGTAAATATACATGAAAACTATACATGAAAAAAGGATATTAAAAGTGCTAAAACCTGGTAACTTCAAATAAACAATGAAATATATAACTACACTAAATATGCAAAAAATGAAGGTGAACATTATAAAAATTCAGAAATTGAGAATACCCAAATTCACAATTTAGTAAAATCAATAACACAAGGCTTTTAAATTAATTTTGTCTTTGTATTTCTTTGGTTGGAGAGGGTTGAGGGTTTCGTTCCTTTTTTGTAAATTAAGCTGGTATAGTTGCACTACAGCTAGAGTAATTAATAAGAAACATATATTATGAGGCAAAAAGTGGATTCAAAAATCTGGAATAATTTAGTTTCTAGGTAATGTCTGTGATACTTACCTAACAACATTATATTCGTTTGCTATTCATCATGCTATAGGAATCTGTACTTTCTTTTCCACCGTTATTATTTACAAAGTGAACTTTATATAGTTTATCAAGAAATTTAACTTTTCGCAACAAAAATAATAACTACATAAAAAGATAATGATCGTCAAAAGGCAAGATCATAAATTGGGAAAGTAAAGAATACCCATTAAAGACTTTTTCATGAGATGGGTTTTATCTAAATTAATTTTGTAGAGGCTTGTTCCAGTTCTTTCATTCTTGGGATTAGAAAATTAAAGAAAACAGAGATGGCTATAATATAACTATTTCTAAAAGCCTGAGAACTTACAATTCTAAAAGCAATAGAAGAGCAGTAACCAAGGATGAAGCAACGAAGAAATAGAAGCAGCGATTGAGGGTATTGGAGCAGCGGTGGCGTAGAAACTGTTTTGCTACTAATTCCTATAGGGTTTTACAAGTACTATTGGATCTTGGACTTATGAGAATTGACGGAATATTAAGTGTAGTTTTGGTGGGAAATTTTTTGGGAAACTTTTTATAAGGAAATTTTAGGGTACGCCGATAAAGGGTTTCATTTAGTATGACAACATAGCAACTGTCCAAAAACGTTACAATATAATTAAAAAGCGACGCAAAAATATTTATATTTAGGCAACACTTAGAAAATGTTGTCTTTACAATTAAACGGAACGCTTTACAAGTGTTACCTTAAAATTCATGGGCAAAGACTCTACTCAAAGGTCACGCCTAAAAAGTGTTCCTACAAATACATTTGACAACACTTTTGGAGCGTTGCCTAAATTAGTGTGGCTCTAGGCCTAAAATGTTGTAGTGAAACTGTACAATAACATAAAACATTAATTCCTTAATATACATTAATTTCTCCATAAAAAACAAAAATACTTTTCAATTTTGTACTCCAACATTTCAAGAATGTGTGCCGCTTGCATGGTTGCAAGAACGTCCATGGGTCTATCTGCATTATAGAAAAGACCAACACTTAAAAGCTAAATAATAATAAATCAAAGGTAGTCGAAACAAAAAGAAAAGAAAATAAAGTGGGAACAACATGCTTGATCACCAACGAGGATACAATCGTCTCTATATTTATATAAATTTGCGAATATATTAAGGTTGAAAGAATTATTAACTTTTGTGCTATATAATTTGATGGAACAAAAGATGCTGATTTCGTCAGACTTCTTAGGGACCATGTTCTCTTTAATGAGAAGTTGCATAGATGTAGGACTTGTTCTAATTATATTATAACTTAGTAGTTCCTTACGGTTCTCAAACTACACAATTTCTATCACCAAGTGAATTAATAAGAAATATTCCTTGGTCTTCAGCCGTGTAAAACAAGGGTTAGATGTGCCGACGAATTATACCCGGTCGCCATATGTGTAATTTAAATCGGAGAAGAATTCTACCCTTGCATAATTCACAATTATATCCTTAAATTATATAAATATTTAAGGGCATTAAAGTCGATCAATGTTACGGAAATATTTTAGTCGTTCAATATTTAACATTAAATATTCGTACTTTTATAATATATATATATATATATATATAGATAGATAGATA